TGTTGTGCGCCACACATTTGCATTGTTATGCACGTATTACAAGCGTCGCAACACGCACCCCTTTGCATTGTCGTGCACATTTCTCATGCATCATCATTGCATTTCCATTCCATGCATTGTCATGCATTCCGGAATACGTGCGTTGTTGCGCATTTAAGCCCGTTTACATTCCGTGTGGCGTGCGTGTCACACTGGTCATCGCACTGTTTTGTGCGCGCATAACATAGTAATTCTAGGCTAATAATTGGTTTAAGAACACATAGCGTTTTCAAAATCGGATATCATGGTTAGTAGAGGCCGGTCTTCGGACTGGGCGAAAGGGGGTGCTCATAGCTGACCTTCCCCGATCGTACCCAAGCTCCCGAGCCGAGACAACTCCGGTGATGACGGACATGTGGCCTTCGGCACCGAGTCAGGGTTTCCTAAATTCCCCCATTTTAAAATATTTAGGTGGCGACTCTGTATCTGGCAAAGCAGTCCATGTTTGGCACTACTTTTTCAAAAATCTGTTTCTCAAAACGATTTGCCAGATTTGGACTCTTTGGTTCAGATTAAGAACCGTGACACAAATCGAGTCCGAACTGTAGCATGAGGCCCACGGGCGCGTCTACAGTTTATTAACAAATATTTTAAAAATATATTACGAAGATATTAAAAATGGAATTAAAATATATATTACAAATTTTGATTTAAAAAGTAAAGAGTGTAAAAATTTTGTTAAACCTATATGACAAAAAGTAAAGAGTGTAAAAATTTTATTAAACATATATGACAAAATTTAATTATTAAAAAATATATTCAAAATATATTCAAAAATATTTTAAAATTATCTTAATCAAAATTTCATAAAAACTATTTTCAACAATATAACAAAAATTTAGTTTTCAAACACTTATTTGAGTAAAAAATATATTCAAAATATATTACAAAATAGATTTATTAATTTTAATATATTTTGTACTCAATACTCAATGCTCAATTCTCATTGGGAAGGAAGGTAGATATATTATCTATATATATTAACAACAAATTTTTTAGAAAATATTAAAAAATTATTTTACAAATATATTACAAAATATGGTTTATTAAGAAATATATTACAAAGATATTAAAAATATATTAAAATATATATTACAATTTTTGATTTAAAAAGTAAAGAGTGTACAAATTTTATTAAACATATATGACAAAATTTAATTACTAAAAAATATATTCAAAATATATTCAAAAATATTTTTAAATTATCTTAAACAAAATTTCGTAAAAAATATTTTCAACAATATATGTCAGTAAAACTTTTAGTAAACATATATTAAAAAAATTATTAGAAAATATATTAACAATATATTCACAAATCTAATAAAAAAATATATTCGAAAATATATTACCAATATACCTAAATTCAAGATGCACAATACTTTTACAAACAATCTAGTTCGTTCATGGAATAAAATATAAAATTGCGTTAGTCTTTATATGTGTTCATGTTGATTCATGTAAATTTAATTGCAATTTAAAGCGTAGCATGGCGTCGTTCACCTCTACTGCAACTTCCAGTATATGGCCACGACGAATGTGTACCTGTGGACATGGCCCCTGTATTGTTAAGATTTCCAGGTCCACCAAAAATCCAGGGCGTCCCTACTTTGTTTGTCCCCGCCTTGTGGTGAGTGACTCAATCTTTTCCGGTCATAACTGTATGAACATTAACAACCCATGAAACTAATAGTTCCATAATTTCCACTCATCAACCCTGTGTCAGTTGGATTGGTTGGTGTGAAGAACGAAGGCGATAGAACCAAGACTATGCGTCACCTGGAGATGAAATTGCCATGCAATTGCGGGCTGATGTCATAGACATTCAACAATCCTTGCGTGTCCTTAAGACCATTGTGTATGTGCTCGGCATTGTCGTTGTCATTTTGTTGTGCCGTATGTAAACACCGTTACCATGTTGTCAGTATGTACAAACACGTTAGTATGTTGTCAGTATGTTGTTAGTATGTAGTTAGTATGTTCGTAGTATGTTGGTAGGATGTTGTCGCATATGGGAGCCGTATTACTAACTATCATATTTTTGTCCACTATTAACTTCCATGGAACCTATGTACGTACGTTATTAATGTGCAATGGTTATATGCAAATTTAACTTTAGCATCCTATATCTCTGTTTGTTGTTATTAATGTGTCATGGCTTATGCGTGTGTATATAACAATCGAATTTGTGATGGTAATCTTTTGTAAACGTACATTAGTAATGGTTTCCACACGTACTTCTCCGTGTAACCAATTGAAAAGCAAAGGCGTTGTCACTGACAAGTCAAGCAGTCTTGAAGAGACACATAATCAGTTCAGCCACAAGGCCTCATGGGACAGTAACTCAATCCGAGTTTTCCTGCAGTTGATTGCAAATGAGATTAGTAAAGGAAATCGCCCATTCCTAGTCCTCAGCCAAGCAGGGTACAAGTTATTGGCAAGGAAATTTGAGAAAAAAACAGGAAGAAAACATGGACTGAAACAGTTGAAGAATAAGTACATGAGCTTGAAAAAAGAGTGGCAAGCGTGGACAAAGTTGATAGATTCAAGCAAAGGAGTGTCCGAGATAGGCTTTGACTGTGACACCGGTTTGTTTCAGGTACCTGATGAGTGGTAGGACAAGATGGAATCGGTAAGTACATGTACAAACAAGTTTTATATTTGTCATTAACCAATACATTTTTGACTTGTTTAGTTAACTTTTAATTAATTATATGAAATGTAACGTCTTCCTCTTTCATATATCTCTATTTCTGCAGATCAACAAGGTGTGTGCGAAGTTCAGGAAAAAAACCTTGGAACACCGTGACTTGATGGAGACGGTCTTCATGGGGGCATCAGCTACTGGGAAGCACCATTGGACCCTGGGAGAGAACCTTCCTGAAACTGCTGATGACTCATCTAATTCAGCGCGTAGTTTCGGAGCCCAGCCATTTGCTGATCCGATACCCGCAGGAGTACAGAACGTGGATTTAGATTCTTCACTGGAGCATATTCCGATTGAAAAGGGGAAAATGAGAAAGACGCCATCAATAAGTGTTTCAAAGTCGAAGAAGGCAACAAGTGGTGCGTCAGTTATTGTGAAAAGCATGAACAATCTGACAGATGTGGTGCGTACGAAGAATCAGCAGGTTACGGTGACGCACCTCTCAGGCAATGAATCGCTGTACACTATTTCAGAGTGCATGCATAAACTGAGTAGTATTCCATCCCTGATTGGTACGCCGTTATTCCATTTCGCCTCGACACTTATGGATAACGTCGATTACCGGGAGGTGATGATGTGCCAGCCTGATGACGACCACATCATTGGATGGCTTACACAGAAGCAGCTCCAGTGTACTGCATCAGCGCCTTTTACAAACCTGTTTGGGGGTCGCCGGATGTGATGTAATAGTGTTACGAGTGTTGAAGATGCCTATCCTTGTCTTCCTTTTTAAAACTTTGACTTATGGTATTGTTGGCATTGTACTAAAACAGGATGATGGCGTGTGCATGTTTTTATTCTGTCATTTTTGTTTTTTCTTGCTAGCTATGGTGACCAAAAGTTTTAGTTAACTGCATGGGTTGACAGAACGGAAGCATGGTTGTGCTTCGTTTTTTGGAAATGAATGGGATGCTTATGTTTTAATATTTTATGTGGCTATTTTTAAGACAGGGAATTACGTTTTTCTTGCACGCTTTTGAATGCCTATATGTCGCAAGTTCAATTGTTAGTTTAGTTTGCTGGCTAGTTTTGTGGTTGTTACCACCATGGTCCCCCTGTAAAGTAGAAGTTGAACAACTTTTCTTTTTTGTGCAATTCATATGATTATGCCTTCCAAATGACAATGGTGACGACATTACTTACATTAAAAACAATGTCGGCATTTTTTAATTGCAAACTTCAATATAATTTGAGTCAATGAATCACGTGCCAACTGATTGAAAGACTGCCACTCTTGTAGGTTTCGTATCAACGAAGACGCGATGAATCCTTGGGATGGAAGCAACAATGATGAAATAACGGAAATGCTTAATCAAATGGCTGTCCAGGTGTAACAAGAACAAAACTGCACATTTCTACAAGCATGCCAGTATGCGACAGAATGGTACGAAAAACACATGGATAAAACGCCGTGTCGCACTTATATACTAACCGAGAATACATGGATATGCGAACTATATGCGGGCCATATAGGTCGATTTGAGGAAAATGTTTGCATGCTGAAGGAAAGTTTTGCCGCATTGTGTGAGACATTAGTAAATGATTTTGGGTTACAAGTCCCGTAACGTCCACATGGCTTAGCTGTTGAAGAAAGCGTTGCACTGTTTATCCATGTGTTGAAAGGAAAGCAAAATCGGGAAATCCAAGAATGGTTCCAACATTCCGGGGAGACTGTGTCGAGGCACGTGCATAACGTATTAACTTCCATGAAAGAGTTCACTGTTGTTCATTGCCGCCCCACATACAGTCAGTATCGTATACATCCATACATGCGGTCTAAACGGAAATACCTCCCGTTCAAGGTACTTCTGAAAAACATTATTGACATATAAATCAAGACAATTAATTATATTTTGTTTTTATTATTAACTGCACGTGACGTATGGAAAAAACCAAACACTTGTTACCCATTTACGCAACAAAACAATTGGGTTGTTTGCAGGACTGCATTGGCGCAATAGACGGAACATATGTAAGTGCATAGGTTACAGGGCCAGATGCGGCAACATATTTCGGTAGGAAATACTGTCACACGCAAAATATCATGGCCGCTGTTGATTTTGACATGTGTTTCATATTCATTTCCTGCGGATAGGAAGGAAGTATGTATGATAGTCGCATATTCAACGAGATACTAACAAATGACAATGTCCCCTTCCCACATCCTGACGAAGGTAACACATCGTCCTGTTATTAGATGTAGGGGGCTATAAATTTTTCCTGAAACAGCGTTACTTGAAAATGACGCACAATGTTCAGTTTTGGTGTCATACATTGTTGTCATGTCTGCAAGTAAATATTATCTTGTCGATTCTGGCTATCCAAACCGGATTGGTTACTTAGCACCATTCAAAGGCCACCGTTACCACCAACAAGAATTCCGATGTATTGCACGGAACACGATGGCAAACACACCAAGGGAATTATTTAACAAAGTGCACTCGTCCTTACGCAGTGTGGTGGAATGCACTTTCGGTGCCTAGAAAAATCGATGGGGGTTTATTCGAGACATGCCTCGGTATGACTTTGCAAATGTGCAAGTTCAGTTAGTAGGTGCGTCAATGGCATTACATAATTATATACGGCGAAACACAGGTAACCCAACAACTGTTCAGCCAATCTGTGACGAGGAAGAGGCTATGACAATAGTAAATGCCATACTAGAAGTTGAACATGACGAGGATGGTTTAATGGTTGGAGATGAGGACCCCCATATGGCATTGGTCCGCCTTCACATACGTGACAAATTATGTTACATGCGTCTTACACAGAAGCAGCTCCAGTGTACTGCGTCGGGGCCATTTGCAAACCTGTTTGGGGGTAGGCGGATGTGATGCTACGGTCTTACGAGTGTTGAAGATGCATGTCTTTTTCTTCCTTTTTAAAACTTAGACTTATGGTACTGTTGGCTATGTACTAAAACAGGATGGTGGTGTGTGCATGTTTTGACGGACAGGAAGCATGGTTGTGCTTCGTTTTTGGGAAATGAATGTCACTTTTCCACCGCCGAAAACCTTCACACTCTCTCTCTAGAGCGTTTTTCCTTCCCCGTTTCTCC